AGCTCTTGGGCTTGTGGTCACCATATCAAGAATGTGACCTCAGCAGTCATCAACTGCCTGTAACTCTTCATCTAGAGGTGGACCCTGTGAAATTCCCCCCATCCGCATTGGCATGACAACTGATGTTGTTATAATGCAAGTCTTGCTTAAGCAACATATTGAGAATTCATGGGTGCGGTTTCCCTGTCATGCCCAGAGTACACTCTCCAGCAGTGGGCATCCTGGTCCTCTGGCTCTTATAATCTTTCCACCCCCTTGTCCATGGTGTTTCCTGAGCCTTAGGTGTAGGGGATGCATTGTAGATGCATCATTTGGGGCATCTCATGGTTGCTTAGTCTCTGAATTTTGACCAATTGTGGAACTTTGAAATGATCTCCATCTGTTGCAAAAAGAAGCTTCTTTGTTAGGTAGTGAGAGCTACACTTACCCATGGATCTAAGGATACGTTAGGATAGTTTACTGATAGGATAGATTATCCAATCCCAAGCGGTCAGCCTTAAACACATGCACACACGAGCACCACTAAATGGACTCGGTAGATTGTATGTATGTAGATAGATAGATAGATAGATAGATAGATAGATAGATAGATAGATGATTGATAGATAGATAGATAGATAGATAGATAGATAGATAGATAGATAGATAGATAGATAGATGCATGTATGTGTGCATGACAATAATAAAATAGAGGTCACAAAACTGAGAGGGGATGGGGGTGTGGGAAGAGTCGGAGGGGGAGAAGGGTGGGTGGAAATGATGTAAATAAAGTATTAATGTATGAAATTCTCAACACAGATTAATAATAAAAAGAACGTAACCTGCTCTTCGATGAGTCATAGCAGGTTTTTCCACAGTTCACCAGGACTCTCGGGAAGACACCACAGCCCTGCTTGGTAGGAGGCTGTGGTGGGAGTCGAGTCCAATGCCAAGGTTATAGTGACTGATGGATGGAAGAAGACTCTGTATCCAGTTCCCCTGGAGTTCAAGCTCACAGCTCTGCCTATGATGGGTGGGGGGAGGGGGACTGAGAGGACTCTCGGGAAGACACCACAGCCCTGCTTGGTAGGAGGCTGTGGTGGGAGTCGAGTCCAATGCCAAGGTTATAGTGACTGATGGATGGAAGAAGACTCTGTATCCAGTTCCCCTGGAGTTCAAGCTCACAGCTCTGCCTATGATGGGTGGGGGGAGTGACCCAATTCTCAGAGTTTCAGCCCACTGGGGATATAGTCATGTGTGCCCACAAGAATATCTGTCCTTTGGGCAGAGGGGAGAGGGGCAGAGTCGCTGTGGGTGAGCTGCCTTTGACCTTCCCAGACTTACAGAGACAGATGTCTGACCCATGGTGAGCAAACGCAGTCTGTAAACTTTGACTGGAGACGGGTTAATTATCAAAAGATTACAGTGTCCATGAAACAGCAGTTTCTGGACCTCTAGAAGGTTCCAGATCCTGGAGTGAGTTCGTAGCTTTAGCCATCAGTGCTGCCTGGGCCACAACCAGTGGTTGACACAGATCTCTTCTCATCTGTTGATCTAATGGAATTACAGCCCTGATTAAACCCCTCCACAATAGGGTTCCCACAGCCCTTAGAACAAATACTAGAGCTCCCCACCCCCTTTCCACAAAGCCCTTCGTGGACAGGGTTCCTCCACCTCTGCCTTTAAACAGTCTGATGCCAACCCCAAAAATCACAGGGCCAGGACTGTCCTGAGCACCAGGTGCCTATGCTTGCCAAAGCCTGAGGTGTCAAGCCAGGTCCCTCTGTACCAGATCAGTGCAGATCACAGAGTGGGTGTGAAGTCTGAGACCATTTCTATCTTCTCAGTGACTTTTGTCCTTGATTTCTTCATCTGTGAAATGAGGGTAGATGGAGCTGCCTTCAGGGGCTATTGTGAGTCTTCTGCCTAATGTGAACACGCTTTGTTACCTGGACTGTGAGTGCCAGTCCTAGGGAGGCAGCCATGCACATACTAGGGTGGGTCCTCACTGACATCGACCCCGGGCCACTAGCGGCTCCCTATTTTCCATCAGCAAATGCCTATTTTTCCTGCCCCGGTGGACTCCACCACCTGATTGAGGGCATGCTTCCAGGAGATCAGAGGCCACTGTCCTGGCAGATGACACATGACACCTGAGAGTCGGCTTTGCAGGTCAGCAGAGGCAAGCCAGTGACCCTCAGAGGCCTTGGATAGTTAATGTAAACATTAAGGTAGACATAGTTGGGCCAGGACCCCAGATCCACAGAAGATGCGCCATAGGCAGGGCAGGTAGTAGGGCTGGCTCACATGCTCCCGGAACAGAAGACTGCCAACATTCTGCTTCCTGCCCTGGGGTCTAATCAACTGCCCGCAGCTACCCCCTCCATCCTCCTGATGTCCCAGCTCCATGAGTCTCCTGGCTGCTCTGTCCAGTGGGCAGGTGGGTGCAAGCAGCAGGGGCCTTATAAGGTCTCTCCTGGGCCCACAAACGGGTTTGCCAGCGGCCAGGAAATGTGAGAAGGGGCCCGAGACAGCATAAAAGCTGCAGGTGTGTCTGACCTATTACCTGTGGGATTCGTGTGTTCCAGCATAGCTCTGAATGTGGCCCAACACATGTGCAGGTGGCACCCCATACTGCAATGTCAAAGGGAGTGAACGCGCTCGCCCCAAAGCTCCCAGTAGTCACTAAGACGCAAGCAGCAGGGGCCTTATAAGGTCTCTCCTGGGCCCACAAACGGGTTTGCCAGCGGCCAGGAAATGTGAGAAGGGGCCCGAGACAGCATAAAAGCTGCAGGTGTGTCTGACCTATTACCTGTGGGATTCGTGTGTTCCAGCATAGCTCTGAATGTGGCCCAACACCTGTGCAGGTGGCACCCCATACTGCAATGTCAAAGGGAGTGAACGTGCTCGCCCCAAAGCTCCCAGTAGTCACTAAGACAGCCAACCAGGGGACTCAAGTGGTACCTAGAGACATTTTCAAGAGCACCATTTGTTCTTGGAGTTCCAGGGCCTCAGTCCTGCAGAGGTGGTATCTCTGTTCTGTCACGTACCATCCACACTGTAGGGCTGGGGAGCTATTCCAGAACAGGTGTCCTTTGAGACAGGTTCTCTCATGATGGGTGTGTGACAAGACCTTGTATCTCTGCCTCCTGACATAGTCTTCCCCAAAGAACTCCACTAACTGCTGGAGCAGCTGACAACTGCTAGAGGCCTGTACACGCTGAAACATCTGGCATTTCTTTCTCACTTCAGTGTCTATGGGACGCTGGCTGGCAGGATGCATTTGTTCAAAAGTGACTCTACCAAGCCAGACGTGGTGATGCATGCCTTTAGTCCCAGCACTCGGGAGACAGAGGCAGGTGGATCTCTGTGAGTTCAAGGCCAGCCTGGTCTACATAGTGACTTCTAGGCCAGCTGTAACTTCAGGGAGACCCTGTCTCAAAAAGACAAAAAACCAAACCAAAACTAACAAAAAAGTGACTCCACATGACACATTAATTTTTTTTCTCTTAATGGGTCCCAATTTTGCAAGCTCTGAAGCATAATACAAATACTAACCTAACTATTCCTGGCCTGAGAGTGCAAGGAAAGAGCTTGCCAGTAGGCAAGCAGAGGGTGTTCTGTGGGTGTCTGGACGGTGGGGCAAAGTTCACCTCCGATATGAGGATAATCAGCAAAGGTGAGTTTAGAATTTCCTGAAAGTGCCAAGCATGGCCTGGTCTCCAGCTCCTGTCGTAATTCGGAGATGTGAGTTTGACGTTTCCTTGGGGGATAGGTTTTCCCAGGCACTCGTCGCCACAAATAGTGCAACGGGAGGAGCAGCGTGAGGACAGAGGGGAGGGTTGGCATAGCACACTTCGTTCCCGAAGGAGGGGCGCGCCCTGAAGCGCTGGCACCTGGGGACCGTGTGCATTCCGTGCGCCGAGCTCCGGTGGCAACGCACACAAAGCTCTGTGCCCGGCGCGCTCCGTCCTCTGCCATTGGCTGCGGGGCCGCGCCCTCCCCCTTCGCTGGCAGCTGGCGGAGCCCCAGGACCTCAGCTGGGCACCGAATCTGACCTTCACCCCCAGCGCGCGCAGAGGAGCCACAGGGCTCGGGGGCAGCCGGGGGCGGGGCGGGGGCGGAGGGTCGGAGCGGGCGGCGCCTCCCCGCGACCGTCCCGTTTGCCCTTCAGCCCTCTCCGTCCTCGCCCTGGCACCTCCGCCACCTGTTGCCGCGTGCGGCTCCGGCTCTCTCCCCTTTCTCCCTGTTTCGCATCCCGGGGCACCGAGGATCAGTTCCCTCCTGCCTCCACCCCCCCTAACTTCGGGAACTCCAGGCGGTGTAGCTCAGCTCACCGAAGGACGCGGGCCGGTGTGGCCCGGGCGCCCCGGGAGCAGCTCAGCCCGACCCGCAGCCTCGCGCGCGGGGCGGCCTTGAACTTCAGCGTCTACGGATGCGCGGGGCTGGGAGGACGACCGTGCACCCGGGTGCGCCCTTCCCGCCGCGCTGCTCTCACCCGTCGGGTGACCTTGGTCAACCCCTTCGCCTGGCCAGCCTCAGTTTACCCCCGGATGCCGCGGACCCCGGGGCTCTAAATGGGTACAGCAGAGAACTGCCCAGGGCCTAACCGGTCCCGCCCCCGCCCCGCAGCCGCCAATCGGGCGCTGCCGTCCGGGGGTGTGTGTCTGGTCCCGGGCCCGGGCCGGGCCCTGGGGGCGGGGTTTCCGGGGCGGTCACAGCGCCGCGGGACCCCTAGGGGGACGTCCGAGGGGCGGCGCGTGCCGTGGGGGCGCGGCTGGCTTTTTTTTTGGCCGGGGACGCTGCGGCCCCAAGACGGGGGTGACGGGGGCGGAGAAGCCGCTAACGCCCCGCCTGGCGCCGCCTCCCTCCCTCGGCGCGCTGGCCCGGAGGACCCGCAGGCGCGGAGCGCAGCCTCAGGTGCCCGGGGCGGGCGGGCGCGCGGGGTTGGGAGCCAGGCGTCCCTTGCCCCGGAGCGGAGAGGTCGGTGCCAGAGCAGAGGAGGGGCTCGGCGGCGCATGCGCGCGGCCCGGGGGCGCAGGTCTGCAGAGTGACTGGCTCCCGGGCGAGGACTCACACCGAGAGCTCGTGCGCACTCTCGGAGCCCACCGGGCTGTGCCCGCCTTGGGTTCGCCCCGAGCGCCGGACACCGGCTGGGAGCCCTGGCGTCCGCAACTGTCGGTGGGGCAGGGGGCTTCGCGGAGTCCTGGAACCCAAGCAGCGCTGGGTCCTCTGGTTGTCCCCTGGAGGGGAGGGCCCACGGGCGGCGACATCGGAGCGCGCCCTTCCCACGGTGCGGTGGACTTGGGCGTCACCGGCTTGGGGGCGTTTCCTGAGACCCCCAGAAATCCCAGAGGCGAGGTAACCTGAAGCCTCGACAGACCGATCCTGGGGTCAGAGTGCCCCACCACTGCTCTCCATCGGGAGAAACTCACCCGCGGGTTCGTGTCACCAGCGGCGGACCCCCTTTGAGGACCAGTTCCCACGTTTCGCCTGAGCGAAGTGGGGAGATCTAGGGCAATCTCCACTAGTGGGTAGGCACCCTATCCGTCCTACCGGAGCCCAGCGTCGCAACGGGTACTGCGAGGCTGGCCAGATGTGGATGAAGGGCTCCCGGAGCGCCAGTGTGCTGGTCTGGAGGGCCGGCTCTGCTCCAGTGCCGCACTCCAAATAACTCTGGACCTCCTTTTCCAACTTCTTTTTAATTTAAAGGGGAGAAGGTGTACCCCCATTGTCAAGATTCTTTCTAAGAAAAACCCACGGTTGTATGTCTTTTGGGAGCACTCCAGGCCTCTTGGGGCTGCTCACCCACCTCAACCCGTACCTACTTCCTCCCCGTACCCCGCCCCAAGAACCCAGAGAGGCCCCCTCCCCTCCTAGCTGTTCTTGTGGGAGGAGCACAGAATTTTCTTGGGAGACCCTGGGACGCTGTACTGGTAGCAGGGTCACCATGACTTTCCCAAGGTGGTGGAGAGTTGGGGGGGATCCAGAGAACATATTGTAATCATTTCCTTCTTTACTTTCCTGCAGCCAAGGCTGAAGTTCGAGGCCCTACCTTCCTGGTGAAGTGACAGTTTGTGGATAGACAAGCTCAGACACAAGACGTTGTCACCACAGGTAAAAAAGGATTGATTGCTTCCAGACTGGAATGTGTGTGTGTGTGTGTGTGTGTGTGTGTGTGTGTGTGTGTGTAGGAGCTGGTGATTGTTTTGTGGTGAAATATTACATGCGTTTTCTCGGCTTTGAAAGTCAGGTAGTGGTTGGTTCATTTTTCTGGTCTCAGAAATTGTTCCCTTTCCTGGGAACTTCATTTCTTAATGTAGCTTTTGGAATGGCATTACTTGACATTTTTTTAACTGACTGGTGAAGACAAGTGTGTTCTCTCTTGACTGTCTTCATATCAGTTTGATTAAGCAGTAGGTGAGTTCCAGAACTGCCACCAGCCAGGGCAGGGATGGCCCCAGGAAACAGTTCCGTGAACATTTGTATGGTCACGGTCCACAGAAACCCAGAGACAGTGGGCCAGATGAAGTTCTGCACAGCTATAAAGCAAAAAAATAAAATAAAATAAATGAATTGATGGTAGAAAAAAAAATAGCTTGCTTTCTTTTCCCACATCTTAAGCATGTAATGAGACCTGCCAGGATCATTGTCTGTTCTTTTGTTTGTAGGCAGGACCTCACTATGTAGCCCATGCTAACCTGGAGGTGCTACATAGCTCAGGCTAGAATTGAACTCTTGATACGCCTGCCTCAGCCTCCCAGGTATTGAGATTATAGGCGTGTTCCACTATACCCAGCTAAAATAGTTCTTTTTAACCAGCTTATGTTTGCTAACCTGTGAACAGAGTTTTAAAAAAAATTGTAGGTGTATGTGAAAGAGAAATAAACCATGAGGAAACATGTTCCTTCTATACAGACTATTTTGTAACTTGCTGTACTGACTATTAGGTGAAGAAAAGTCTGTCCATGTGAACAAAATGTATTTCTGCATCTTTATTTAAAGTGTCTATATAGTATCTCATTGTGACATCCAGTTTGTAGCCAATAGGATATAGATACGTGTGTGTATAATTCACTCATTTGATACATATTTATTGATTAGGTACTAGGGGCTACTATGCCATTCATGAGTGAAACAACCATGGACCTGCTCATGAAACTGACTTCCATGTCAGAATATAGGAAACTAGAGCCAGACATGGTGGTTTATGCCTTTAATCCCAGCCCTTGGGAAGCAGAGGCAGGCGTATCTCTGTGAGTTTGAGGCCAGCCTGGTCTACATGGAGAGATCTAGGCCAGTTGGGGCTACAGAGAGACCCTGTCTCAAAAAAAAAACAAAGCAAAACACACCAAAAAAAAAAAAAAACAACTTGAAGGCTGAGGATATAACTTAGTTGATTGATATCAAGTACCACATAAACCAGGTGTGGTGACATGTGCTTGTCATCCCAGTACTGGGGAGATAGAGGCAGAAGAATCAAATGTCCTAGATTATCCTCAGCTATATAGCAGGGTAGGGATCAGCCTGGGCTACATGAGACCCTGTCTCAAAAAAAAAAGAAAAGAAAAGAAAAGAAAAAACATGATAATTAAGCTCATGATGGTTAAAAGATGAAGAAATGGAGAGCAGTAGGGAAAAGATGCTTGCCAGGACGTCTTTCTAATCTGTCAAGACTGGTAACTCCTGTACCTGGTT